TGTTTTCCTAATTCTTGATGTATATATTTCGATAGCTGATCTTCTGGCTTTGTTTTCTGATATGCGCATCTAAGACTAGAAATTCTGCTCTCATTAGATATTAGCTAAGTCTAGCTAATAGTGACATGTAGTATTTTTGTTAGCATTCAGATAAAATTTTATAATTTCTGTTGTAGTTTACTTTTGACCCATAGATTACTTTTAAATGTATTTTGATTTCCAAAAACTTAGAGGCTTATCTAGTTATCTTTTTGGTTTTTGTTTTCGGACTAATACCTAGGTGGTCAGAGAATATATTCTGTATTATTCAAATCTTTTGATTTGTCTTGACTTTGCTCTGTTGAGATGTTCTCTATGGCCAAAAAAATATGGAGTAATTTTGTTGATGTCTGATTTTGTTAATGTTCCATGTGTACTTGAAAAGAATATATATTTTGAACTTGTATTGGATACCATAATCTATATATATCAATCAGGTCAAGTTCATTAATCATGTTCAAATCATTTATATTTATACTGATTTATGGATGTGTCTGCTGAGTGATATAAGATGTTCAGGGAAATGGTAGAGTAAGCTAAAGAGTACAGAGGATCCAGACCTTGAAAACATCAGCATTTAATGTCAAGGATTTTAGGTGTAGGACGCCACAGGGAAAACATTTCACATATCAAAGAAGCCATCTCTTCTCTGATTGAATTAGCAGTCCTTTCCACTTTACTCTGCTTTATTCCTTTCATTCATTAATTCATTCATTCACTCATTACAATGAATGAGCCTGAAATTTTCTTACTTGTTTACATGTCTATTGTCTGTCTCTTGGACTAGACTGCAAAGTCTCCAGGAGGACCAGGACTGTGTGTGACCGTGTAGTTCATATTATATCCCTAGTGCCTAGCATATAGAAGACACCAAATATTTGTGGCATAAGTTATTAGTGCATTTCTTGAAATGCATACTTAATAATTGGGGTAGAAAATTTAAGTAATGAAACTCGTAACCAATTTAAAATATTTTCTTAGAACGAACTTAGGAAGAACAATGCAAAATTTGGAACAATTTGAAATGAAATGGAAAAATTGAAATGAATTTACTCTTGACATAAGTGACTTTGGGTTCATTTGTGCATGAGATATGGGTGGCGAATGGAGAAATAAATGTTTATTGCATTTGCCATTAGTAGCGTTGCAGTGAAAAAAATTAAAAAGCACTGATTTGAAGGGTTATGAGAGAAACAGGCAGAGGAGACTGAAAGAATAATTTAACAGGTTCGATAAGTATAAAAGCCACATGGGGTGATTGACATCAAGGAAATAGAGTATTTGGAGAAGACAGTAAGTCAACTTTGTCAATTGCCAAAGAGAGAGTCTCAGGGGTATCATTGGAATTTAGTAATAAGGCCACTATTTACCTGAATAGTTGAAATAGAATTGTTGGGAAATGGGGTGAGAAGAAATCAGCTGTCAAAGGGTAATGAATTGTGTTGCAATGGTGCTTATTATGGAGTTGCCCCAAGTAATTACTATTAAACTTTAATGGCCTGCCCTGTTGGGTGGGCGTGGAGAAGCAGGAAATAACTCCTAACTCTATCTGTGGCAGGAAATAGATAACTTCCAAATTTTTTCCTCTATCTTTGCCTAAGAATAAGAGAAGGGCTGGGAGACTATCTTTGGACTGGGTTCTTAGGATGTGACTAGGATTGGGAGCCCGAAGTAGGTAGGGTAGGATCAAGTATTTGGCTTTATAAGTGTGAACGAAACCTGACAAGCCTGCGTGAGACCAGCATGGTGGCCTTGCAAACTCAGAGACCTAAAGTAATCACACAGGGTTGTCTAAAAACTTTCTAACTGAAAGCAGGTGACAGCAGGAAGTCATTTCCTGGGCTGGTGTCTTTCTTGACAAAGGTCAATCCTTACCTTAACTGAGCTGGTCTTACTGCCTTTTTTGCATCTGTGATAACACACCTATGGACTGTCAGGGTAACTTCCCTTTTCCAGACCCCTCAGGGCACAACCTCCAACCAGAGCAGGAGCCCATAGAGCCCCTCATTGTTGTGTTATTAACTGTTCTATACATACCTATGTTAAAGAAATGTGTCTACTCATTTTCTTTTTTATTCAGTCCCAGAGATTTCTCTGCTTTGCTTTCTCCCACCTCCCTAATCTATCACCAATGAATTTCATATAACCCCCTTAGGCCTCCTCCCTTCATTCTGTTTTATAAAATAAGGTGCAAAACTGCCATTCGCTGGAGCATTTTCTCAATTCCTTGAGATTTTGCTTCTGGGTCAATTGTTGTCAGTTTGGCTCAAATAAACTCAAATATTTTTACATGACTGGATGTTTCTTATGTTGGCATAAGGCTTTTTATGCTTCATTCACTTGATTGCTTTTTTGTTGTTGTTGTTCTGCCTTAATAATCAGTGAATTCCCAGTCCATTTAGGTTGTGGAAAAGGAACCTGAGCATGGTGGACATTGGGGATAGGGGGTGACTGGCTCCAGCGACATTCAGTGAGAGTCCAAAGGGAAAGGAAACGTCAAGGGACCACCTTGGAAGCAGTCGCTAGTAGCTCAGGGGAAAAGTCCAGAATCTGCGTGTTTGGGTAAGATACGCCATTTCCCAGGGGGTCCGGTCTAGGAGGCCTGGACCTTATGGGGGGCTCAGTGTTGAGTGTGTCTGGAAGACAAAAGCAGTGGCTGCAGCCCCATTGGGGTACCCAGGAGTTTGAGTAGCAGCAGATGCGGTGGAGCTCCAAACCACCTCCCCGCCCCCGCCCCCGCCCCCGCCCCTCCTGGCCTCCAACTCAGGATTTAGGTGGAGAGTGAGGGGGGCGGGGAAAGCCACAGCGCAGGGAGAGTTCCCAGTTGCCCAGACGAGAGTTCTCCGGCGTGATTTGCTCTTTTACCCCCTTGTGAATGGCAGGGTTTTTCCCCCCCCCGCGCGGACAGGTCCAGCCAGATTATAACTTCTGACTCGCCCCAAGGCACTGCCTCCCAGGCCCAAGCAATACCCAGGCAGCTGCGGGGGTGGGGTGGGGGCGGGGCAAGGCGACATCCAGGGGTTAAGTGTCAGCCGTGGGGTGGGGACCTCGCAATGTTGCGACTTCCGCCAGGCGGAGCGTGGGGGGAGGGGCAGTGGGCGTGGCTACAGGACAAGTCACCTTTCCCTCCCAGCACCCAGGAAAGGTCGCCCACCGAGTGGGTCCGCTCTGGGGCTGAAGAAGATGAAAAAGCCCGCACCCCTTACAGGCTAGTGGGGCGCGGAGGTGGGGGGAGGTGCCGCGGGCTCCGGTTGGGCTTAGGGGCGGGGTGGCCTTGCTACCGGCCCAGCCGCGGGCTCCTTACTGTGAAGGAAAAATCTACACAACTTTCTGGTGTTCTTCTAAGTTTCACCTGGACTAGGAAACCCATTTTTAAAAGAAACCTCCGAGCGATAAAGCAATTAGCCCAGAGTCTTAAATGACTTACAGGTTCTGCGTGGACTTCATCCAGGCACAAAATGCTCAAGGTTTTGTTGGATAAAAATAATTTGGGCTGGCAACTGTGAACTAGTTTTCGGCATTATATTAGTTAGGACCCCTCCAGTTTTTCATGGCAGTAAACTTAAAAAATGGAGGGTGTTTAAAATATATTTTAACACTTTAAATAGTGTGTTGGTTATGGATAGAGGTAAGCAACTCTATTTTATATCTCACTTAAATCCGAAAGTAGATAGATGAGCCAGAGTAAAATAATGTCTTACTTCCTTATGAAGCAGAGTAAATGTTCCTCATGTCCGGCTGTATGGAACTTGAGTATAAACCACTTTTATACTGTTGAACCATTTACTCCTCATGGTATTTTTTATTTATTCATTTAACAAATACTAGTCTGCTGATAAATCTTGCCTTTAAATAAGCTGCCCTCCACCTGCAAACATCCCATTCCAGGTCCTGCCCATTTCTTTGCTGCCTGTTATTTAAACAGCAAAACTTCATTAAAGGACTTGCCACCAAGTCTCTATTTCCACTTCTCCTATTTCATCATCCACCCATTCCTCCGGGCTTTTTATCTTCATCACCCCCTTGTCACTTATGAAAGCCAGTATCTGTGGAGTTTTCACTTTAGCTCCCTCCACGTTGTTCCTTCTTCAGTAAGCTTCCAGGTCACCTCTTCTCACTAGTCACTCCTGTGTCTGCAGACTTCTCCTCTTCCCAACCATTAGACGTTAGAGTACCACAAGGCTCAGTTCTTGGCCATATTCTCTTTCTAGCCATAGTTTATCCCAAGGCAGTTTCTGTCTAAGCCATATTCCATGGCTGTGAATAACATCTATAAGGTTATAACTTCCAAATTTTTATCTCTATCTTTACCTCTGCCAACCTCCAGATGTGTTCATCCAGCTGTTTACTCACGAACTCCATCTGGAAATCTAGTAGACGTTTAAATTTAGTACAGCCAAACCTTGGTTCTGGAATGTCTCAGTTCTCAAACAGTCTGGTTCTCGACCAGGTTGTTCACTGAAAAAATGGTCAAACACAGTTGCTGATATCACACCCACCCAGTTGTCCCCTCCACTTTCCCCTCAGTTACCTTCCTTATCTCAGTAAATGTTAATGCCATTGGACTAGGCTGAAACTCTAAGAATCATCTTTGATGCATCTTGATGCTGAGACCCTACATCCAAGCATCTAGCAATTTTTTGTTTCTACCTTGAAAAAATATCTCAAATCTAAACACATCTCACTCTCTCTGTCATGCAGACCACAGTCTCTTACCTAGATGACCGTGAATTCTAAGATTTGCTCTTCTTGCTTCTGCCCTTGCTCCTCTACAGTCTTTCTACAAAAAGCAATGACTTTTCTCATATACAATTAGAGCTTTGACTTCGCTTCAAAACCTTTTGGTGGCTATTTATTGCGGTCATAAAAACCACACTCTTAACAGTGGCTTCAAAGCCCTATGTGATCTAATCCCTGACGACTATGATCTTATCTCCTACCTTCTTTATTGCTTATTTCAGTGAAGGGATGAAGATCCTGCTGCTGTTACCTTCGCCTGCAATGGACCTCCGCTAGGCCATCACAGGCTGTGCTCCTTTGCTTCCCTCACTTCCCTGTTCAGATGTTTTATCTGCCAGAGTCCTGTTTTAACTTTTTTGCTACTGACCCACAGGTATGTTGCTGTCAGATACTAGTATTGCACGAAGCTTATGCACCTCTAGAACATTGTTGGTTGCTAGGATTCTCTAATATCGAAGTGCACAACAGATCCTTTCTCTTGAGCCTCATTTTGATAAGATATGGTTTGCCCTTAAATTCTGTGCCTTTATAAAATGTTCTTCCTGTTTGGGAGTTTGCCCTTTGGTGCCAGTTCTCATTTTTAAATTTAGAAAGTGAAAGAAAAATGCTCTCCAGTCTACCAAAAAAAGTATGCAATATTTTTTTTGGCAATTCCATTGCTTCCATAGGAAGCAGTGGTCTCTGATTTAGAGACTTTCTGAATGATATCAGTAACAGGTAGTTTAAATGCAAAGAAGAAAAATGAAGTGGAAAATATTATACAAGTTTTTTAGGTGTAGTGACTAAGCGGTTTTGAGAATATCAAGATTTTAGAGCAAAATTTAGTTGTCTTTTTAAAATACATGGGAATGGAAATGAAAAACAATATTTCTATCTTTAGCAAAAGCCACTGGGGGATAAAGACTGTTTAATTTATAATGCTTATTTCTCATTTTAATCCCAAGGACTTTGCGATGTTATCAGTAGTATATGTATTACCTTACCCTGTTCTAGAAGAAAAAAAATTTAATTTCAGAATTGGGATGCGTGAATAAATCTGTGCAATAGAATATTAAATAAATTTTTAAAATAAGTGGATGTGGGATATGTATCAAAGAGAAGAGTAGGAGGCTTAAAAGGGAAGCCAGGAGTGCATTAGAATGAAAACATGTGTCTGAAGCTTCAGTATGTGTGAGCTAGACAGCACTCAGCAATGTGGGGCTTCCTAGTGGGTGAATCCAGAGATGGCTTCACAGATAAAAACGCCAGTGCCCAGGCAAGGTCCGTTTGTGTTTTTGCTGTTTCACCTGGTAGAAGCAGTTTGTGTGTGTGTGTGCTTGTTTTCAAATAATTACATGTTTACTTGCTCAGCGATCTGTTTAGATGGAGATGATACTGCTCCATGGTGCTTGTAAATAAGTAGAATGTTGGGAGATCTCTGTTTGGTTTAGAGTTAGCAAGCCCAGACTCTTTGAAAATTTTCATATAGTTAGAAAGTAGGAGGTCAACAAGAGTTAAACTTGGAAATGGGCTTTACCCATCTGGAGTGTGCGGATATGGCACATAAGGAATATAGTATCTGGGCATCACATGAACTGACCTCTATTTTAAAGCACATAACCTAGAAAACAGTTTTCTTATTTACTAAAAAAATAACTTTTTAGATAGCATTATCATTGTAGAAAAAGGGTATATATAGATACACATATAGATTATATGTACATTTACACACCCAGCAAACACCAATAACCAATGTTACCTTTTTGGTGTACCTCTTTCCAATCTATTTTCTCTAGTTTGTTTTACAAAGCTGAGATCATACTGTATTTTCTATATTATACTCTACTGTTTTTACTTATTATAGAAGCATTTCTCATATTAAAGTTATTCATAACACTCAAACATTTTAACAATTTAATAGGATTCACCATATACAAATATGACATAATTATGTTGTTGCCATTCCCCAGTTTTTGAACATTCTGATTGTTTACTTTCAGTAGAGTTTTGGCTAGCCTATGTATGATACTACATACAAGTTGCCTAGTAAGAAAATAGAGTCACATAACTCATACTTCAAAATTGTGGTCAAATGTCTTCATAGATCCTGTGACAGGAGAAAGCTGAGCAAATTGGAGCATCTGAAAAAAAAAAGACTCATGTCCAGGGAGCTGGAGGAACAAAGTGGAGAGAGGAAAGAGATGAAGTTGGAGCTGAGGAGTCGGATACAGGGCAGCATTGATCCCATTAAGAAATGTTTATTCTCAGAGCAGTCCAGAGCCATTGGTGGGTTGTAAATATGAGTAACTTGATCAGATGTATGTGTTTAAAAAGATCAATGTGGCTGCTGAATGAAGAATGGGTTAGACTGACCAGAGTGGACAGAAGAGACCAATTAGGAAGCAGTGCAGTGGGCTAGGGGAGAGATGTTGACCTGGGTTGAAAATGTGGAGAGGGAAAGCGGAGCAATTTGAGATGTGCTTTGGAGGCTGAATACACAGAACTTGGTGATGGTTGGAACTGAAAGTGTAGGAGAGGAAGGGGAAAGTGTCTGCCACGCCTCAGGTTTCTGGCTGTCATAACTGGGCAGGTGATGATGTTATTTGTAATAATGTTATTTCAGTGTAAGATCAGGATGGATTCAAATTCTACCTTTTCCTGAAAGTATTAATTACCCTAGTTGGGATTTAAAAAATATTTTCAGTGTGATGAAGTGAAAGAAAAGTCCACACGTTCCCTGTCTGGCTGACACAAGTCTGTTCTGTTGTCCCCTGGCACTCCCCTGTTGTCATCCTTAGGTGGGCAAACATTTTCTGGAAAGAATCAGGAAGTAAAATATTGTTAGATTTATGGGCCATATGCTTTCTATCGTAACTACTCAAATGTACCTCTGTAGCAGGAAATTAGCTACAGAGAGTACATAAATAAATGGGCATGGCTGTCTTCCACTACAGCTTTATTTACAAAAACTGGTGGACCCTGGCTGGAGCAATTTGGTTACAGCATTGTCCCAATAAGCCAAGGTTGCAGCTTTCATCCCTCGTCAGGGAACATACAGGAATCAGTTAATGAATGCATGAAGTGGAACAAGTCTTTCCCTTTTTTTTTTCTCTCTGTCTCTCCCCACCACCCCAAATCAATCAATAAAAAAATTTTTTTTTCAAATAGGTTTCAGGCCATGTTTTGCTGCTGACCTGTGTTGTAGCTCCTTGTCCTGAGTTCATATGTTGTATCAATCACAATTTAGTTGCAGGGAACAGAATCTACTCTAGCTAGTTTAAGCAGAAAGGTATGCGCTAGAGGGTATTCCAAGATTTATAGTCTCATCAGGAAGGTTGAAGAGCTAGACTCTAGGTTGAGTGTTTAGGGGTCTAAAGACACCTCCTCATACCACCTAGCAGCATGGGTCTAGTGTTACTTGGACCTTTGCCATGACCAGGAAACCTGCCACATTAGGGAGCTGCCAGCTCCTGAGTCATGCCAACTCTGCTGGAGTCTGAACCAGCAAAATAAGTGCCTCGTGTTCTGCCTGCCTTCATGTTTAACTCAAACATGTAAGTATATCTGATTGGTAGAATTTAAATTACATCTGGAACCCTAGTGTCAAGGGAGTCTAGGAAATACAGCTCTTAGTACTTGTGGTGCAGGGAGTTCGGGAAGGCACACTAAAAGGAAGTCAAATTGGATGAGCAAATCTGCAGTACCTGCTGCAGAATACTTCTTTGTCTGCTTCACATCATACCCGCCTTCTTTCCACATCTAAACTGCCAGGCAACAATAGTAATAGCAATATGCTTTCTTTCAAGATAATGCAACTGTCCCTCATACAAACAAATGTGCACTAACCTTCTTCCCAGAAGGTAAACCCCAAAGTCCTGTGTGTCACCACGTTACCCAGTGTTCACCGACATTATCACACAGCACAGCACACTTGGGAGTTAAGTGGCAAATTTTCTCTGCCCTCCCAGGGAAAGAGGGAATTTGACGAGCGACAGAGCTGCCCTATGACCAAGAGGATAACAGCTCAGCTCTAAGATGCTCCTGCCCATATTGTTCATTCTTTCTCTCTACTAGCAAATTTTCTCAGTTTCTAGGCAATGCAAGTATTACTTCTCAATGAAATCCTCTCCTGACCTCACGCTCATTTGTTGCTATTGGCTTGCTTTTCCCTTCTTTCTCAACTAAGTTTTCCCTTCTCCTCAGGCCCTCACTTCCGGTAGACTTTTCAGGACACTGCAGTCTGATGTGACTCCCACCATTCGTGCAGGCGCTACCTGCAGGGGACTGACCCTTGCTCCAAGCACTCTCTTCCCTTGGCTCCAGAAGCCCATCTGCATCTGATTCTCCTCCTGCTCCAGGACCACTCTCTCCCTCCTTTGTGGGCCCCTTCTCCCCTGGATGCCTTGCGGGCATTAGTTCTGTCTCTGTTCTCCTTTCTTTCTACCTGTTCTTAGTTACTCACAAATTTGAACTAGTACCAAACTTTTATCCTCCATGAAAATGCTCTCCCAAGCATTGGGTCTACCTGTGTAACTGCCTATTGGACAGCTCCTCTTCTAGGTTATGGGAACCCCAGCCTCCTTATATCCCCAGCTGGATTAATTGGTCACGCCCACCTTCACCCCCACCCCATTCATCTTGGCAAACGGCAACATTACCAAGTTACACAAGGATCAGGCTTGAGAGGCACACTTGATTCTTCTTTCTGGCACCTACTTGCCTTTGTTACCTACTACACATCTTTGGGTCCATTATCACTTCCTTAGGTCTGGACTCTGCTTTCTCACACAGGTTATTGCCTCTCAACTGGTTGTTCTCCCAATGTAAGGCCTTCCAGGCTCCTAGCCTAATCTCCTTACTGCAACTATTTTACCCTGTCTAAACGAGTCAGATCATATCATTTCCTCACGTACACCTGCTAGAGGCCCTCTGTCAACAAGATCAAATTCAAAGTCTTGAACATAATAGATTAGAATCCTTATGCTCTCTAATCCTTGTTTATCTCTCTTCTTATCTCTTACCACTACCTTCCTCTTGCCTTCATATTAATACACATGAGCCATAATAACACATACTGTCAAATTATCCTAATAGAATTTGCCCTCTGGTGCCTCGTTTTTGCAAATGCTAGTTCTACTGCATGGAAAATGTCCACCTCTCTCAGCCCTATAAATGCATATTATTCCATGCTGCAGGTATCTTTCCTAGCACCTGTAATGAAGGTGAAGCACCTAGTTTTCTGAATGAAGCACCTAGTTTTCTACTTATTCTGGCTTCACAGCCCTTAAACCTAGCAGGTCTTGGTACAGAGTACGTTTTTAACATCAAAATGTATTAATTGACTTCTGGTCAAGATGGACGTGTAGGTAGACTCACTTTGCCTCCTTGCACAAC